TTACGCTTGGAAACTTGTTCGTAAGTACGCATTTTTTAAAGTGCATTGGTTATTAGACTACATGCATAAAAAGTAAGCTTAGGCCAGGGGCTAACAGCAATTCCTCGTCATGCATTGTACAAATACAATAGGGGTAGTCTCGAAGTCTTGCACGATGCACGGATTGCACGAAATGCAAAAATACCATTCCAAATTTCGGAGAGTACGAGAGCACCCCATTGCAAAGTTGTAGGATGCATGGGTAGCACGCAGCGAAATTATGTATCAAATACAGGCATGGGCAGAGAACGAGCACACGCTCAAAGAGCATAACCATCGCGTGTACGTATACAAGCAAGAGCGTAACGAGGAGAACGCGGCAGCATGCAAATTGAATTAGGCACACTAACACATTCTCACTTTTAGCGAACGCTTGTTTGGGGTAGTGTCCACCTCTGATCAAATACAATAACAAGAGACAGCAAAAAAAAAAAGGAGTGAGCGAGATTAGAGGAATGAGAGAAATTCCAACAACAAAACAACTAGCACAGGGTCGCTTTTATCTTGCTATGCCATTTTGCAAAATATATATATGGGTTTCGACGTTGCATATTTTCCAGCGATAGGAAATGTTGTTTCCCATGTATTGTGTTGTTGTGTGCTTGCAAGTTATGCAATCCGTGCTACGTGCAATGGCTTTGCAAGATTTGGCGAATACCCCTATTCAGTTTTGTTGGAGATCAGAACGAATGCTTTTAAGATTGAATTTCAGCTCCTAGCCTCTAGCTCCGTCTCAGTTTATAGAGTAAACTGTTGAGCTTAATCCTATTTCATCGGTAAAAAAGTTATGCACGCATGCATGTTTACGATTGCATTTTTTTGCGCTTTCAAAATATGTTGGTGTTTGGCCCTACTACGAACGGCGATTGTATTTTTTTTTTTTTGAGGTGCTTTTTCGTGGCAAATTGCACAACAAATGCACTTTAAAAAATGCGTACTTACGAACAAGTTTCCAAGCGTAACTGCATAAAACTTGCAACATTCATAAATCATACACATACTCAGAGGTTTGCCATTGCCGGCCGAGGGGCGACCGCTATTAGAAAGTAGCCCATTAAAATTAGATCAAATTGGTACTAAGAAAACAAAAAATTTCTAGTAGCGAACTTTTGATGCAGTTTAATTCTATTTAATATGGGAATATTCTGCATTCTTGGGTTTTATGTTTTTTTGGATTTTGCAAGACTGTAGGTCCATGATCTACACATTAAATAGAAGTAAACTGCATCCTGCATCCAAAGTTCGCTACTACTATTTTTTTTTTTAGAAAAGTCCAGTTTCACTGAGCTAAAAAAATTTTGTATGAGTGTTTTGCCGGCTCGAGGTCAATTTTTCAAAAATTAACGAAAACACAAGTTTTTTAGTTTTTTATTTCCGATATATTTCGGTTACGCTTCGACAACCGTCAGGGCAAATCGATTTACACGTCTTCACTGTTTGAAGGGAACTGTGGTTCTTGTGTTTTCGTTAATTTTTGAAAAATTTACATCGAGCCGGCAAAATACTAAATTAGATTTTTTAGTTTTATTTTTTTTTTTTGTCTTGGTCGGAAATTGGGCTCGAACTCAAGCTCTGCGGAATGGTAGCGCGCTATAAAGCTATATTTCCACACAGAGTGGAAATTAGTCTAGAAGGGCGTGACAATATGCCAAAATATGACAAAAAACTTCAGATTGATTTTAAAATAGCTATAAATTAAAAACGAATCAATTGAATGTATGCATGTGTTTCTTATTTTAAGTTAAACTGTGAAATGTTTGTTTTGTTCTGCATTAATAAAGTTCACTTAGTACCGCTTTCTCATGTAGGTTTTAAAATTTATCTGCCTTTTAAACACATTTTTTCAGAACAAAATTTGTATTTAAAGGGCAAATAAATTTCAAAACCTACTTGAGAAAACGGCTCTTATCCTACTAATCTCATAACTAGGGATAAATCACGTGGAAACTATGGATCAGATTAGCATGAAATTTTGCAAACATAAGTTTATATCCAGGGCGGAGATTCTGTAAAAAGTTAGCGACAATTTTCGAATCGGTATCACACTTTTTGGCGCAAAAACATTTATATCATGCGTCAAAAGGTGCTATAGCGATCCGAAAATTGTCGCTAACTGGTTACAGAATCACCCTTCTGAATAAAAAAATTGGAAATATCGTATTTATGGTCGAATTCGCTTGAAATTTGGATCCTAGGTAGGTGGATCAGGACCCTTTTGCTTTAAACGGTATTTTTGCAATGGCCAACATAGGCGTAGCGAACCAAGTGGGCATTTGGTAGTATATATTTATGTACATAAACGAAACTCTACCATAAGTACGACTTTTGTGAACAACTTTTTCTTAAAAATCTTTATTTTCAAAATATGCATGTACATAGAATGCATACCATAATTAAGCCTTTTACATGTATGTGTATAAACTAAATACTTTGGTTCTGCGAAATCTTAGCAAAAATAATTAGTGACGCGAAAACTACAATTCAATTTGAACAGATCAAACGTGTTTTTTTTTTTAATAAATTAGTCAAATCGATTCAGTAGTTTTTCGTCCAAGCCTGACATACCTACATTCTTTATATGTGACAGGGAAAGTTAGTCCATTTATAGTTTTTTAACGATTCTTATAGCAGATGCTGCACTCTAAAAGTACATGAATACACAGATATGTATATGTAGATAAAAACGAGCAATGTTTGGGTTATGAGGTATTGCTTAAAAGAATATAATTCTGCAATTTCGATTTATACATGTACACATACATTCCTATGACCCATCCAAATCATTTACACTAATGTTAGTACCTTTTCCAAAGCCGGGTTTATTTTTCCCCCTTTCTACTACTTTTAAAATATATGCCACAATTAAGACAGTTTACCATTTGTTGAGTTCGTACTGACATCACCTTCTCTTATTCCACCATGGTCGTGACTAATATTTTTTTTTTTAGAAAACGATGTGGGGAGTGGTGGAAATTCAATGAAATCCATCATATCAATCAATTTGAATTTTGAATTTTTTGTAAGTTACGTCCTTTTCCATATCAGCGACGATGTTTGTTACGTCTTTTTGTATTTTAGGTGACGATATGTAAATCCATAACTGGACACCTCACATAAGTCTCATATCGTTAAAAGAGTTGGATTCAACTCGGTTAGCACATGCGCATTTTGTTAGAGAATGCTGCTGGAATCACAGGGCCCTTCTAGAAAATTTAAACTGAAATATGCGCAAATTTCTAAATCAATCGTTTAAATTTGTAGGTATGCATGGTTGCGCCTCTATGTTGTGAGTTTTGTTTAAAACACTCAATGTATATTCATTTGGTTGCGCGTATTTGCGCACCCATTCATCGGAGTGACTGTGTATTTTGTGTTTGTGCATATTCGCATTCGACCGGAACGTCTTTGGGCAGAACGAACAAGTATACAAATCGACACCAGTATGAGTGGCTTCATGCTCCTGAAAATAAATAATAATAATCGATAATAAGTAAAGAAGTCCAAGTTTGGCCAATGCCGAGCTTTGTATAGGCTGTGTTCAGAAATGTATCATGCCAAGGCATCAGTCTCTTTTATTCCTAAACTCTCAATTGATGGAAATGCCTTATTTGCGCAACTATGTTCTAATTCGACATTTAGCCGTGGGTCCGCATATTGGACATTTCCACCAATTATAGTGTAGAAACAAGAGACTGATGCTTTGGCTTGATGCATTTCTGAAAACAGGGATACCCAGCGCACATGTACATAAAATGTATTTTCTATTGCCGGTTTCTATAAATTTCCGTGAAATAAGAGGCAATATGTATAACTCGTCAAAAGATTCATATAGCCATAACTCCTCCCTAAAATGTTATAAAGTAAATTATTTGTTTAATAAGAAATTACACCAAATGTTAGTCAAGCAAATTTCTAAAAATTCTAAAAATTATATTGAAGGTAGGCATGGTTTGCGTCCGATTTCAAAATTTTTACTCAAAAAAATCTGTGTGCCATTCTTGGGATAAATTACTGATTAACATACATATGTAAAGGCGATAAAATGCAATATCGCGCAAAGAAAATACTTTATGTATATAATTTACAAACAAGAGTATATTTGTTGTATGCACTTATATGTCGCTTCCTGTGAGGATGTTAGCAATACGAACTCATATAAAGTGGTTTTACCGGATTTTTAATTAAAAATTAAAATAAATTGTAATTCAGCAAAATTAATAAAATCAAATGAAATTAAGGTTTAATGTCTAACCTACCCCATGTATGTACATACATATCGTCGTTTAAAGTACAAAACCGCTATCAACAAAATGAAAAACCGCGTATCAAGATAATGCAAAACCGCGTATGTGAATTATGTAAATTATATTCTAGAGAGTAAAAACACTCATTTTTCAAAATGGTTCTCTTTTTTATAAAGCGATCGCATACCTGACCAGTATATTTCAGGACGAATGGATAAGTATTGTGTCAAGAGCTCGTGTGAGCAAATCCAATTTTTGGCAGCTAATGCCAGTTACGCGGTTTAGCAAAATGACGATATGCGGTTTGGTACTTTAAACGACGATAAGTAGCTGAATCGCCCAATGCTTTGCCGAAACGTACATAGATATTGACACATCTACTGTTTCATGAGTACCCGGTATGCATAAACAGCTATGGCTTATTTGAATTATCTTTTCATTCTAAGCAGTTTGGTATACAACACCCTATGGTGATCCAAAATAACCAACCTAACGAATTTACGGCCTTAAAGGACCTATTTACTGAGAAGTAAATTCCCCCATTTGCAAAAAAAATATATATTTCAATTTTAAAAGTTGTCAGATTAGGTTAGGTTAGGAGGGCGTGTGTGGAATAATCCATACTTTCACTCGGAGACAGAACTGTCCATTGAGTGCCCTCTTTTAGTGAGTATCAGGAGGAGGCACGTACCTATATCGAAAGAGCACCTTTAAGTCATTATTTTACTGAACCAATTACTATCCCTGATGAAGCCGAGGAGATCCAACAGTTCCTCCTGTGCTACTTCGCCCAGACTGTTGAAAAAGCGTGAACCCAAGTACTTGAGTCGCTGCGTCTGTAGACCTGGACATCGACACGGATAGTGGTCAATTGACTCTTCCTGATCCTCATCATGGCAGCCTCTGCAAAGAGTAATCGTTGGAATTCGCCACGAGCATTGGTGCTATAGCACAGTGTCCTGTGATGACGCCGGTAAAGAGTTTTACTGCAGATCGATTGAGTTTCGGTATGTCCCTTGTCTTTTCCCTACTCAGCTGCGGCCATAATAATCTTTTGGTCTCCAGTCTTCCCGTTTGTTCCACAAGTCACGGCCAAAGTGCCGGTGGACATTTGAAATTTCCATGAAAATAACATGTAAAAAAATTCGTTTTCATTGAAAAAAGTATAGCTATTGAACCGTTTGATAATTGTTTTTCTTGGCATGTTCTAAATCTGATTGCCTAGACTCAAAAATGTATATAGTTACGAGCTATGAAAGTCGAAAAAAGCAGAAATATGCAGTGAAAAAACTTACACTAAAATGATAAAAAATTTGTAGAAAATTTTGACCATAAAATAGATTTGTCAGAGAAGAGAAAGGTTTAATCACTTTTTTTTATTGCATTTTTAAATAAAACCTTATATATTATTTCTCTAAAGTGTTTTTTTGTTAGTCTCCCTTTTTCTACTTTTCTATATAAGCAATTCCACTAATGAGGTGTCATTTGAAAAGGTAATATTAATGGTCATAATATTATTTATCTAAGGTGTTTTTTTGTAAGTCTCCCTTTTTCTACTTTTTTATGTAAGCAATTCCACTAATGAGGTGTCATTTGAAAAGTCAGAGGTCCCCTGAGTGGTTATTAGGTAATATTAATGGTCATAACACCTCTGAAGTCAAGAAATTTGTAATTTTATTTTTGTTTTTAATTTACCATTGTTAAGCCACACTAAGGGGAAGATTCAGTAATTCAGTCTCATCTCAAGTCACTAAATTTGAGATTAGCAATTAGTGACTATTGATTATTTGGCTATTCAGTAGGAGAGAGTTCACCAAAAATGTGTGGTGAAAACAAACACGGACAGTTAACTGATAGCGTTTACGTATGCCTTTTGCCGCGCTGCCCGAAGAGTCGCAATAGCCGAGTGGTTAAAGCATTAGGCTGCCAGTCGAGAGGGTCCGGGTTCGAGTCATATATGTAATACTTCTATATTGGCAGTAAGGTCAAAACGAGACAGTCTAGTACCGTTTTTGTCAATGAATTGTGTACTTGAGTGCCGTTTTTGTATATGTGTTGTGTACATGTTTATTTATAAACGTATGTGTTCCTTTTCTATTGAACGTGTTTATTGATATTAGAGCTCTAGATACCCGGGTATCGAGCAATGCGAGTAGCTCGATAATCGCTCGAAACTCGTTCATTGCTCAACTGCTCAAATGTTTGTTCAAAATTTTCGAGTTTTTGAACAATTTCATAAATAAAAGAAAATTTGTAAATTGTATCTGTCAGCAGTTGCTTTCTAATTCATGTTAAATAAATTATATTATTAAATACCAATGTAACAGAGCTGTAAAACTGTGAAATCATATGAAATTAAAAATCATCAATTTTATGTTATTATGTTTTCATTGAATTTTTCCTTGTTGGGGAATGTGGCTTATAATTTTCCAATTCTACATTCACTCAAAGTAGATACGATTGCACACATTAACATATTCAAAGAAAGATTGAAAAAACTGAATGACGAAACATTAACTTTTAACACTGAATAAGCATTCAGATGAATGCAGCTTTTGCTATGTGTGCACACATTCATTCAGTACCAATCAATCGATATAAATATTCTAAATACACAAAACCCACTGAAAAATACGCAAGGTTGAATTTTATTGAACAGATTTCAAAATTGCAACACGAAAAATAGTTTATTGAGCGTTATCATTAATTTGTTTCACTTAAATTTGTACAAATATTTATAATAAATGAAAATATTAATTAGAGAAATATTGTTCTGCCAAGAATGTCATTATGAAAAATGTCAATTATTAACGATTTTTACATCTCTGTTTCGAAAATTGTCAGCTTTCTAAATAAGTATTACCAATGTACCAATAAAAGGTATGTGCAGAAATTATTACATATGTACATACCTATATATCTACGTTAAAATAAGTAAACAAATTTAAGCGCTTCTACTTCTAACTTTAGATATATACATTTTATTATTTATTTAAAAAATTCTTAATACAAGTTTCTTCGTACTTTTTTCTTCGCTATTGGGTCAAGCATTTAATAAAGATTCTAAAACCTGATTTGTGGGTTTGTGGTGGTTTCTACCATTTACAATAAGTTGCAAATTATCAACTTTTCTCAAAAAAAGATTTAACAAATCTGTGTGCAAACCCCTTTTTATTTTAGTGTGGTAGAATCGAAAAAAATGTGGTAGATTTGAATAAGATGTGGTAGATTTTCCAATTCATATTTTATTGGGTATACATATCGCACACCGTCGTCAAAAGAAGCACAACTCAAAAATTAAATCGGGAAATATAATTGCTAGTGGATCGTACAGATTCCACGCAATTGGTGTAAAAACAAGTATAACATTAGTTTTCTAGTTAGAGAATATAATCATGAAGAAAAGAATATTTTATTTGTATGCAAAAAAATCGACCAAATTATTTTCCCATTGCATAATACTTTAGCAAATATAAATAGGCGTATTTTTGAAATATTAGAAAGTTAAGGCACAGATATATTTAAAGCAAAATTTATGATGTACCTTTTTAAAAATCTATTGATTAATTTTTATATTTCGAATTACAATTGAGTTGAAATTCTAGAGTTATGTGAAAATTGTAAACAAATGTTCTGTCTAAAAATGTGGTAGAATTTAAGCCTTGTGTGGTAGATGTGGTAGACACCCAAATTTAAAAAAAATTACGTGGTTGATCTACCACACATGTGGTAGAAGCTTGCTAACTGTTCTAAACGTATGTTTTGAGCAAATTGATGTTTAAAGCTAGCAATATATCCCATGTCCATTTTCCAAAACTATAATAATAAACATGGCAGTTTTTTAGCAATTTGGTTCCTGTAATTAAGGAAATATTGTAGTTTTGGCATTTTTCGAAATTACCATTTTATGAGAGGGACCAGGTTTAGATAAAAAAACCCTCGTACAGAATTTGGTTGAGATATCTCAACTTTTGCTAGAGTTTTCGTGTACGCAAATAAACGGACATGGACTAATCATCTTCTCTTTTTTTCTGAGCATTTTTATGTATATATACATACATAAGTAGTACATACGAACATAAATGTATGTATCCATATCGATTAATTTTGGTTGTTCCAAATATACGTTATTTGAAAAAAAGTTATGGTACCCTCTTGCAGAACTGCGTTGTAAATATGTTTAGGAAACATTTAAATTAATAGTTAATTAAAAAAG